TCGTTATGAATGTTGATTAAACGCTGGTATTCTTCACCGACATCTTTCAAAGTCATTCGTGGATCTTGTTCCAGACGATTTAATAGGCGTGTGCGTATGTCAGCAAATTTGGGGGACTGCAAACCACAAGTGAAAATCAATACCTTGAACTGGTCTTCTGAGAGCGATTTCAATTTAAAACGTTCACACGTGCGATTGACTATACCCAACTGGGTATGGATATCATCATTTTCGTTCAGAACTAGTTTCATGCATATATCGAATGTTGAATAAAGATCTCTGATCACTAAACTGATGACGAAGGGTATGGACAGTTTCATCGAATGATCTTCCGCTGGGCTTCTGTGGGAGAATTAAGTTGCAATATTTATCTAGCTCATCTGCTCCCAATTTACGAAGTAGAAGCCGTACTTTCCAGGCATCATCTTTATCCGCAAAGTCTACTCGAAATAGGTCTTCATATCTGCGAAACCAGGTATCAAAAGTCACATTCGCATCTGGATCATAAACGAATTCTGAGATGCTACTACCAATGCTGTCGTTGGCTGCAGATGAATCGGCAGAGCGTGATATTTGTAGACCAGCAAGCATTTCCATCAATTTTAGCTGCTGTTCCATTAGTTTCTCTAAACGCAGTGGGTCCATCTTCAGCAAACCCGTCGCCAAATTTGTTATGTATGTAATATTATGACCTTGTAGACTACGAGCGAATCTAACTTAATGCGCTGGCTAATCTGTCCTAATCGCACGTCAGCAACAACAACAACAATACCACCGGGCACGCAAGACAAAGAAAGAAGACTGGACTGTTGTGGAGACAGCTCTCGTATCAACGTCCAGTCTTCTTTCTTTGTCTTGCGTGCCCGGCGGTATTGCCGTTGTTGTTATTGACGTGCGATTAGGACAGATTAGCCAGTGCATTAAGTTAGATTCGCTCGTAGTCTACCAGGTCATAATATTCATACATAACGCTGTTAAGATGTTTTGCGCTATCTGCTTCTATGCTTCATAACATAACTTTGCAAATAAAGAAAGTGTTAAGCGTTTATTTCAGCTAAACGTTGAATATTAAAGTTGGGACGAAACAACATCGGGGCTTGACTGACTTGCATTTGCGACATTTTAACACATAATACTGATAAAATTATATCCAACAACTTTCGTGTACTCTTACCACAGTTAACTAATGCATTGTTCTATAATATTGAAAAGGATCATATTTACGTGTAATAATATAACTTCATAGACACCTTAAATGAACATGCCGAGTTCCGTGAATCCTAAATATCCTTTTCTTCTCAAGTTGCCAAGACACTTTCGTATAAAAATGTGACTTCTTGAAGGTATTCTATACTAAGTGTAAAGCGATCTGTGTACATAAGGCTTGAAGCAATTATTATTATCAATGAAATACTCGCACATATTTAAACTTGGAGATCTAGAAACACGCTTCACACTCTGTAAATTTCATTGGATTACCTTTCTAATTAAGCCAGTAATACTGCTATACTCAACGGAACTAGTAATCCATTCTCTTTTCATCCAACCATATCGAAAATTAGTCATTTGCTAGATTCCTGTTCAAACTGAATAAGTTCAATCACTACACTTGCAATGGACGTAATCTATTCTCTTAATACCCGACAGGTAAATTCTACTTAACTTTTTTTTCTCTTCTGTCTCTTCATGAGGCATTATTTTGTATTTTCCATTGTAATATTTTAGATTTTCAACCTTCTTGTTCTCTACCCCACCCGATTTAATTTCTACACCTCATTACCACTTTTCCTGACTTGACCAACGCTCAATTTCTAGTCATTTATGTTACGTCATCCAACTTATTTGCTCAATTTTAGTTCTAATTTAAATGGCATTATTCTCTACCCCACTTCTACTTAGTCTCTTCTACCTGTACTTACCTCTGTTGCTATCCTGACCTAAGTTGAAACATTTTAGTCAGTTTTGTTACGTCATCTAACTTACTAACTCAATCTTAATAATAATAATAATTTGCTTTATTCCAGAAACAGTACTAGTGGTACAGTGTGGAATTTTCAGCACATATCTACAATATTTGCATCTAATTTTATCCAACGTTTAAAAGGAGTATTTTCAAAAATAAAAAAAATAAATAAATATAAAGATAACAACAGCAAAAAAACAACTACAAAAAGCACAAAAATAATTTTTAAAAATGCGAAAAAATACCAAGAAGTAGAAAGGAAAATAAACATCATATAATAATAACTCAGTATTGGGTAGTGGAAGCTATGATATGATTATGCATGGTGACAGTAAAGCTATAGTCATATAAGAAGTTATGAAATGATATTTAAGAATGTTTATCGCCAAGATGAACAGTTAATTTGGTTGAAACAACACTAAACAATCATAAAATAACATTTCAGGGTTGTTTTTTTATCTGGTCTAATGCAGTGTTTGTAGTGGTAGTGTGGGTTATCCTTCATAATACAAAATTTTAAGGTGGTGATAATGGCGTTCACATCCAATGACAGTCAGTTAATATTGCCGAGAAAAAGAAAAAAATAACAACGACAAAACTAATAATTACATGATGGTTAATGACAGGACAATTTTGTAATACTCATAGTGCTAATATAGTCGGAACCAGTAGATACACAGAAGAAGGAATACAGTAAAGTACAAAAAAGTAAGCCAATGTTAATAATTTAGGTAGCTGAGTATGTTTAAGAAGGAGTTCACTATAGAATACAAAATAAGAGAGAAATAAAAGAGCCTAAAATTATGTTATTAACAACAAAGCAAGTCATAGGATTCACGCTTAACATTGTCTCTGTCGCTTAGAACACGGGCCAAGTATGGTATCGTTGAGTTGCTGTCTAATTCACCTTGTTTCTGCATTAGATCATTCCTGTATTACCTGATCACTTATCTAAACTTGACAAACCTCATATATATACACATACAAATAGTTATATATAAATGTGATTGTACAGCTATGTGAATGAATTCGCCGAAAAGAGTCTCTTTTTGCTGAACGTCTTCTCTTTTTTCATATGAACAAGTTTCAACAAAGAAGAAATACGAAAAGTCTGAAAGAGTTGACGACTAGTTATCTTTGTATGCTGACGGCCTATTTCAAAATACTATACAACAGTGATGCCTTCTTCAAACAACAAGGCCTTCATATTGTTTGTGTCGATAAATGTTTCAAATAAAACCTTCCAACCTGCTGTGTATTCTCATCTCGACTATCAGGTACAGCATCAAGTCATTTAATACATCATAAATACAGAGCTCTATATTTTTATTAACCTGTCTGTTAATATAAATAAATATATATATGTATATATTATTTAAAAAGTATTTTTCCCAGAAAATTTGTATTGTAGTCATCAGTGAGTGGATAAACAGCTGACAATCAACTGCAGAACAAATGCAAAACATGATGCGGGCAGGTTTTTTGGGGGGTAATATTTTCCCACGAATCTATCTTTTATCAGTGTTGAATAATAATAATAATTCTCTTCATGTATAGAAAATATAATCTGATCAGACATTTAAATTTCAGAGAGCAAACAAAAAAAGATCTGGTGAATTGCATACATTTCTTCAACTTATTTTTCTTTCTAAATATCTCCAAGCATTATTTTTTTTAACCAATAATTCTGATAAAACAATTTACTTAATTTCTTAAGTAGTGACACTTATTTCGCATAACCTACGAACTCAATCTACCGATATAACGCATTTGACCTATGTGACTTTAGACGAAGTAAAAATCTAGCACTGAGCATAACAGCTAATAAATACATTGAAAGTTGAGATTTCTTTCAGCGTTCAATGCCGAAAACAATCTTGTTGTAGAGGATACTTCTTCCCTCAATGATAGTCATATCGCCAACTGTAGAAATTGTCAATTATTTTGCAACGCTTGTCTCTGGATAATTTTCTAACCTGGCCAGAATTCCATATATGTATATATACATTAACCTTGTAAACCAAATTAATTCAACGCTTATGGTTATTTTAGAATTTTTAAATAATTTATTATTCAGCGTCAAAGTTTCACGAGGTAACGATTATCACTCGAATGTGGTTAACGAGACTTGACAAGACATAAATAACTGCCTCTATTCAACGTGTTCAGAGCGATTTTCTTCTTTTCCCTATTACATATGGTGGTTATTTCGATTATTTCTAAAAAGTATTAATATAATTAACCGGCCAAAAATTGTATTTTTAACAGATTGTCCTTAGATGTACACCCAATCAAGGAATCTCGCAAAGCCAATAGTTTACTCGAAGAAATCTTTTTCAATGAATTTACTTTAAGTCTACAGGTTTCTCTTCAAAAAAACTTTTCGCAGTGAAAAGTGTTCACTAAATAATTCTTACTTCTTTTAATAAAATCTCTGAATTCTGAATCAGTGCTCAAAACAGCCGGCAATAAATTCATGAAATATTTTTGCTGCTCAACGCAACGACTGACAGAAATATAGGCGTGTTATGTATGTCTTCACTAGTGCTTAGATAAAAAACAATTACTGTCAAAGTCATCAATCCTCACCAATTCATATCACTAACTAGATCAATCAGTACACAGTATTGCGCAACTTAAAGAAAACATGCAAGCGTTTCTGCTACCTTCGGTACATGTTACCAGATTAGTAATAGATTCGCCAGAGTTTTACAGTTTAACGACAGTGACTTCCTTTCTGACTAATCTGTAAACTTACCCTTCTATATTGGAATAACTTAACCATGAAGATAAGGAAAGTTACTGAAATTTGGCTTCTGTCTTACTGCTCCCTCATTCTCAACAGATGCATTCCCATAAAAATTAAGCACGACTACACACTCACCACTCAACACTAACGAATCTACTTACTTATAAAGTATAAGACTAAAATTAAATCACTATGGAGACGAACAAGTTCAAAACGACACGATCTACTTTTACGTTGTCAGGTGGTTGGCTCATTTGACTGTCTAGTGGTAAGTGGTGTATCCGAATAGCTGATGTTTTCGTTGAAATGAACATCGCAAATTTCTCTTAAGAACTCGGATGAACTTATAGCGTACACAGAAGCAGACAAGCAAAGATCGATCGCCACTGTCATTTGCAGTTACATTTTATAGAAATATTTAAAACAGATGGAATTATAGCACTTTTTATTATTATTATTATTATTATAATTATTGGTTTCATATGTTTAAACTATAGATATTGTTAGGTTCTTACATGTTGCCATGTGAACAGAAAGACAAAATACAATACATCAAAATAAAAACTGAAAATATTCAATGTTGAGGTCTATCAGAGATGTCATCTTTGTGTTTTTCGGCTTTTTCTTTGTCAATCAGTCAGTTAGTCAGTGAGTCAGTCATCGTGACCAGGATAACCTCGGAGATAATTATCATCATTGTGATATGGATCACGCATAGATTTATACCATGGTAATGAATCACGATTGATAGTAATCATTGAACGCTTACCCAAACGTGCATCCCATAAGTAATTACGTTTCATCATCATATGATTTCTCAGTGCTGGAGACAGTCTGCTGGGCATTTCTTTAAAGGAGGATACAAAGTTGTCATCATTAGCATTGATATGATGAATAGATATGAAGAATATGAAGTAGATAAACGCCAGCAGATAACGATGAAGCATTGTTTACTCAATCAACTGCAACAGTAAGATAAATAATGTTGAGCTGTACTTAACAGATAGAATTAAAGATGGAATCAGTCTTGTGGAAAACAGAGAAGTGATATTAGATAAACAAAACTCAGCAGCGTAGAATTGGTTCTGGTTAAATATTAAAATTTATTTCGTAAACCAATCAAAATTTAGACTGAAACAATGTGAAAAGGGGAATATTTTTATGTTTACGATTGGTTCACGCTGAATAAACCAACAGGAAGGAGTATAGCTAAACTTACTAACTTGAAATAATTTTTCTTTGGAATTGATATCCCCCCACCCACCCCACACACACACACCAGACTTTCTATTATTGGGGATGACGTAACTCTGAGTGAGGTAAAACAGGGGAAAATACCAGCTTAATAACTGGCTATTTTAAACATCGAGATATGTGAAGTCAGTTTTTAAATGTATTGAAAATATTTCTGATTGCACACTAGTCAGTAACTAGTGTAATGTGTCTAGTCCTATCATCGGTGCAGACTGAATTCTTTCAGTCAGTCATGTTTGCAATGTGGCCACCATGCTAGGTGGCTCACCATTACCATTCAGTCACGAGCCTGAATAGCTCAGTGGTAACGTCTCTGACTGCAGCACTGGGTGACGCTGGTTCGAATCTCAGAAGGGATATCAGTTCATTCAAGGTGGCAGATACGCCTTGTTGATGAGTGCCAGCTAGCACGAAACCTAGCTCAGGCAAGGCTTCCTGCCGATTGCCTCCAACTATCTAATACCAATAGTATTGAAAATATTTGGTTAAGGTTCACCATTTCCGTGGTTGTATTGTACCTAGCCAGCTTAAAATTTTCAGCCACTTTTATAACAGATGTTAGTCATTCGACGTCGCCGAACCACTGGAAAACTGTAGATTGTACTGTGTCCAATATGGGCAACGAAAATGACCATCTGTATCGGCGCCGTCATTAGTAGTAAATTTTACCATAGAAAAAACTTATATGATCAAAGTATATAGAGATACGGTATTATATACTGATGACGCTTCAAACACAATTTATCGCCTAGAGTCATATCAAGACAGCTACATAACTTTCAACCAACTTTTATACAATTCTATTGTAGTAACAGAAGGCAAGACATGGATTTATTATTACTATTAATGTTTCCTTTAGTTCCTTTAGAGGAACATCCAGACCGATGGCTGCTACCTTGACGTGGCGGTCGGGATTGCATATCACAATGACCCAACAAAATACACTGGCTAGATCTATTGTTCCTGCAAGTCCTACCATGCCAGGAAGGTAGTTAGGATAGCGATTAGAGCAAAAGCAGTTATCGACATAGTGTAAAAATTTATTTTTCCTACACTATGCTGGGGGTCTGTGGACGAAGTCGTACTGCTGGGGAACACGGGTGTAACAGCAGTGAGCTGTTTCCCTCAGATGACCAGCGTGCCATCCAGCTATACTGTCTCTCCACTCAGGAGAGACGAGGTCAGAAAAGGTCGACCCCAACAATTGTACATCCCGAATTACCCTACGGTGGTCCGTAACCCGCAGTAAGTTTACTAATACGAAACCAATCCAAGAAACCAGTTCATACAGGCCGTGTGTGACCGACCTCAAGCAGTTGTCCCTTGGGCTCTGAGGTCACGCAACACTAACCATCGTTCTGTTTCAGGTAGCCGAAGAATATTTATTCTCCTTCACCCACATCACTTTCATCATCTTTCCCCCTACTGCTGTCAGTACTATTCTTCAGACTAGTGAGTTATCTTCACTTCACTTTGTGAGCACAAACAAAGATGAAAGCCAAAGGAACATCCCAGACAGCCTCTTAAAGTCACGTCACCGAATTCATATAGGAGCTTTCAACGTCAGGACCCTCTGCCAAATCGGACAATAGGCATCACTAGCAAGAACTCTGGAATCTCGACCCATGGATCTATGTTGTATTTCGGAGACGCACATACAAGACCTGAATGCAGTGATTCACTCAACCCAATCCCACCCGGCCAGCAAGGTGAATCTGCAAAGTTTACTTTAAGGGTGTCAGGACACTCCTCAGCTAGCTCGCGAGGACTCGCAGGTGTAGAGATAGCTTTGAGTGTTAGGGCGGAAAATTCACTTCTTGATTGGATCCCAGTAGATAGTCGTATGTGTGCGGTCCGTCTGAACGGGTCCGTTAAAAGAAGGAAAGACAGCGCTACCCGTCGTTGTCTTTTCATAGTCTCCGCTTACGCCCCAACAGACTGCAGTTTGGATGAACTAAAGGATGACTTCAACCTGAAACTGTCTAATTTGCTGCAAAAAGCAAAACGCTCAGATAAAGTTGTTTCAGCAGGCGACTTCAATGCCGAAGTAGCAAAGTTGTGCCAGACTGAGAAGTATGTAGAGGTGAAGTTCCCTGTCGATGAACCGACAACAGTGATCGTCTTCTATAGTTTTGCTCAGATAATCATCTGTTCCTAGTCAGCACTAACTATAGGCACAAAAAGAGACATTGTGTAAACTGGCGACCTCCATCAACAAATCAACGTTGGACTCAGATAGACCACATAGCCATAGGGTGTCGTTGGCGAGGGTCAGTAAAAGACTGTCGCTCATTCTGAAACACGTACGTAGACTCTGATCACGTACTGTTTCGCGCACGTTTATACTTACGTCTAAACGGACATAAAAACTTGTTGGCAGCGAAGCAGTTACGTCCCCAACTAGATCGAGACACTAAGTCCCTATTTGAAGGAAGAAATAGCGAAACGAGTATCTGAGGTCGACAGCAGGACTCTTCCTGCCTGAGGTAGCCTGGCACAACATACAGTTAGCTGTAGACACGGCTGTAAAAGCTGTTAGTAACCTGAAACCGAAAGTTAGTAAGAGCCAGTGTGCTTCTACTACTGCTACGCAAGAAGACTGATCCCGGCGAGCTCCGACTACGATGAGCGAAAGCTGCTCAGAAACATACCAAAAAGAATTCTTCGCAACGACGGTGAACAGTGGTGGGCGACGAAAGCGAAAGAGGTGGAAAAGGCATTGGCGATTGGGAACACCAGACAACTATTTATACTTACTTATCAGGGAAACAGGTGGTAAAGGGCAAACGATAAGTGAAACAATCTCTGAGAAAAATGGCACCATAATTAGCTCCCACGGTAGCCGACTGGAACGCGGGAAGAAACACTTTCAGGGGCGATTGAACTGGCCTACAACCACACTCAACTTACCCAGCATCCAACACCTTCCTAAATTGGAGATAAACACCGGTTCTCCGACCCTAACTGTCACTGATCTGAAACGAGACAAAGCAGTGGGACCTGATCGAATAACTCCAGAGATGTTTAAGGACGGTGGAGACAATTCACTGTCTGGGTTAACTAGGGTGTTAGGCAACGTCTGGGAATCAGAGATAGTCCAGTTGGGCTGGTGTGTGTCATTGATCATCCCGGTATACAAGAAGGGAGACAAGTCTTCCTGTGATAATCACAGGGGGATTAGCTTGACTAATATGGTGGTATCTAAAGTTCTAGGCTCAATGATAATGCGTAGACTAAGGGATTCTCGAGGAGGAACAGACACGAGAAAATCAGGCATGCTTTAGACCAGGAAGAGGGTGTATTGGTCATATCTTCACACTTCGACAGATTCTGGGACATAGGCGTACTTACTGGCGTCCAACAACTGTCACATTTCTTGACCTGAAAGCGGGATTCGATTCCGTCGACCGAGAGGTACTATGGCAATGTTTGGCCGTGAAGGGTATGCCGAGGAAATACATCGCACTAATCAAGGCACTCACTCTACTCGAACTCATGCAGTCAGCCAGGTAAGGAAGAGCCTACGGAGAGTTGTCATCTGAAGTGATAACAACCAGTGGTGTCCGTCAGCAATGTCCACTGTCCCCATTTCTGTTTAATTTCATCATCCATGTACTAATGGACTTAACCCTAACTGACTGACTTCAGCGACTCAGGGCTTGACTTCTTACCAGGAAATAATCTCGTTGACTTAGAATATGCGGATGATATAGTCCTCCCTCCTAGGTGAGCAAGACGCTGACAAAATTCCAAGTCTTCTCAACATCTTGAGCAGCAATCTCCGAATGTTTGACATGCGATTCGCTCGTTCTGTCAAATGTAAGATGATGCTACAGGACTCGACTGGAATACATCGACACCTAGCTTAGAAATAGGGAGTGAAGTGGTGGAGCGTGTTGACGACTTTACTTATTTGGGAAGTTGCATGAGCCAACACCATCGGGTTTCGCACATGCCAGTTCACGTCGTCTCTGGCGTAGCCATAATATCCGGCTACCTGTCGACCAAAGGACATGTGTATTGCTCAGTAGTCCGCTCCGTCTTTCTTTATGGCTGGCTGTGAGTGAGACGTCGCCATTGACAGTAGAGGTCATGAAAAGACTAGCTAGCTGTCTTTGATCATAGGTGCTTGTGTTCTATCTCCCTCCCATATAAAGTCGTATTCTAAGGTGAGCAATATTGAAATTAGACATCGGTCGAGTTCCAGGTAAGGAGGGGAAATCAATCGACGAGGTTGTGAAGTTACACCGACTGAGAGAGATGGTTAGGACATGTGTTACACATACATGCTTAGCCGTCTATCGCCTTCCTCAAATACAGGCAGTGTTAGACGACATCGGATGGATCCGATTGAGGAAGAGCTAGTGGTGGTCAAACCAAAACATGGCCTTATCAGTCCATGAAATACACAACAGTTAAGTTAGTTTAGGCCAACCAGCCACATAGGAAGCTATAGACTTCCTTACTGGTTTTGGGGTCCTCGGGACGGTCGAAACCAATAGCTGAAGACTATCGGTGGTATGACTTAAAATCGTTGTCAATGGCTGGCGCAGATGCATCCACTCCTTGTGACTTATAATACCCAATAAAACTATATTGTTCTGCGATATTACTATTCCTTTTGCCTTATATCTATATCTACTATCTCTATTTTGTATTTTTCTTCTACTTTCTTCTCTTGCTTTGTGTACTACATGGAGTGTGGCGACTCGAACTGCTGCATATCGGTGCAAAGTTCTTTGCTGAAACCAGTCAGTCAGTTAGTCAGTCCACCATCATCACTGAGATTTAAAAGCTTGAAGGCCGTATATGTTCCACTCGAAACGCAAAAGCAATGAGAGAAAAAAAAGTCAACGAATCCATAGGCCAACACACTTTATTTTTTTTTATTCATTGTTCAAAGAAGCTGACAGAGGACAGTGTACTTTCACAAAAGTTCCACATACTTTTGATTTGTTAATAAACATAGAAAACTGTTATGTGCTACATTTCACGAAGACATTAAAAAGTGCGTCACGAAGATCCAAATAATAACAATAATAATAATAATATACAGCAAAAAGTTAATTGTAAATAAACTCATGAGAGTTTGCGAATGAAAATAATGCAAACACCTGACATGAGTGTACTTCACATTCAGTGCGTTATTCACGGGACGGATGATGAATTCAAGGTACAAAATGTGTTGTTTGTCAAAATAGAAGATGGAATATATATACATATATAATTTATAATAAAGCAATAATGGCAATAATTTCTCTCTCTCTAAGCTGTTAACGCAGTCTCGGAACACATGAATTGATTGTACTTTCAACAAATCCTTCTTTTTCTACTAAATAAATCAAATCTGCAAGAGTCTGTTCAACAGAAGCGCTTACAACACGAGCGGACATCTGAAAAGAAATATAAATAAGCAAATAAATAAATAAATGAGAAGTTATAATTTTTTGTTTCAGAACGGGTTGACAATCAATTGAAAGCATAGATATATATATAAAGTATGCGGTTGTCAGAGTTAAGTGATGAATAGATGAGATGATACATTTAGTAGATACTATAGATTAATTTGAGTATTGTATTGGGAAACCAAGCACAACAACAACCAATCACATCTCCACGTTGCCAGGGAGATCGCAGTGGTCTAAACCAATCAGTATTGAAATCTCACCGTAGACCTTCGCAGAAAACAGTGCATCAGTTCAGCTTACCAAATAAAGGTAGGGGGGAAATTCAAAGGTACTATGGTGAACGGAAATGTACCGATTATTGTATCCCTTAATTCCTAGAGGAACATAGGGCTTCAGCCGTGCGTCTCCATTGCGTTCGGTTCTCTGCTAGAGTCTTCACCTGCCTCCAAATCTGTCCACATGCTTTCATCTCCTCTTCACATGACCTCCTCCAAGTCACCCTCACACTGACGACCAACTCGCCGCTTCCCTTTCGGGGTTCCACTCGAGCAATGGCTTGTCTAGTGATGTCACTTGATGGTTTCTTTGCTCAGAGTATGGCCAATCCATCTCCATTTCTTCCTGCCTATTTGTTTCACAATCGGTTCCTGCTGGTTGGTTCGCTCCCAGAGATCCAACTCTGTTGCTGATCTCTTCTTGCCGGTTATCTGATCTTGAGTATTGAGCGAAGACAACTGTTAATGAAGGTTTGTAGTTTGTTTGAGATGCTCTTTATGACGCACCAGGTCTCTGATCCGTATGTTAAGTAGCACTGACTTCACATTGGAGTTAAGAATCCGGACCTCACTTTTCATACTGAGTGCTGTTGACCTGCATACAGACTTGAGAGTAATGAAAGCTTGTCTTGGTTTGATATCCTCGTTAGTTCCGCCTGTAGTTGAATCGATGCTTCCCATGTTGGTAGGTAGGTAAAGGAGGTTGCTTCTTTCAGATTCCTCCCATTTATGCTGATTGTTGTTGCTGTTGTCCAGGAATCTTCATCACCCATGTCTGTTTTCTCTATGTTCACCTGAAGGGTAAATGCATCTGCACCATTAAAAATGATTTTTTTTAGCGTCTTGGCGACTGCAACCAGGTAGTCAGTCTGTGCATCCTCATACGACCCAAACGAAAAGTTGTAAACTTCACGATAGTGAATTACCGTCCTTCTTTCTTGGAAATCGTTTCATTTATCTACACACAGGAGCATGGTCTTGTTCGTATGAAGACAAGCTCAAGACATACATTTCTTAACTACTTTAGAGATTAATTCCTCTCAATAAAGTTTTTTTTCCTTCACGTTCCCCAGTGGAACATAGGGCTTCAAGCTAATGGCTTGAAGTTCTGTAGCAGTGTTTATTTTACAGGATGGGGATGCTAGCCACATGCCCAACTTTTCCTCTTCACCAGCATTATTTCTGGCTTAGCGAGGTAAAGGAGTGCGTCGGCCGCGGATCGAACCCCGGACCATGTGCATGGTCGGCGAGCGTCCTAACCGCTATACCACCGACGCACTCCCAATAAAGTTTACTTCAATAGATTTCTAGAAGTAACTTTTCCTATCCTCAATGAATAATTGTGTTAGGTTAGGGGTAAAGATGAAAGAAATAAAGTCAGCTGCACGTCAGTAGTGAAATGATTTGGCAAGTGTTTGAAGAATCGGACTGAGGTGACCAAGTTTCCAACGCAGAATACTTCAAAAATACGCAGCAGTACAAATTGACACAGCCATTAAAGCACCTGCCAAATGTGCATACGTGCTTTACGTTTCAAATGCATCTGAGCTCAGCTTGATTGCAGTAGGTAAAATGAGGAGATACAATACACTTAATTTTACTTGGCCAGGCAGCTACCATACAACTTTTCCGTACAACATAAAATAAAATATTTCTACGCTTTTCACATTAAAGTAGCTTTTATGCCGACTACGTTTACCCTAAACAAACAGATACAACAATGCAGCTAACTGACTGGTTTCAACAAGGAACTACTTTGCACCGATGTGCAGCACTTCGAGTCACCACACTCCATTTAGCACACAAAGCAAGAGAAAAAAGTTAAGAGAAATACAAAATAGAGATAGTAAACAGAGATATTAGGCAAAAAGAATACAAATAATAATAATAACATAATATTTCGTATAAACTAGTGTTTATAAGAACATTATAGTTTTATTGGAAATTATAAGTCACAACGAGTGGATGCATCTAAGTCAGCCAGTGAGAACGATTTTGAGTTATATCACTGATTGTCTACAGCCACTGGTTTCTACCGTCCCGAGGACCCCCTCCTTCAATCAGCGAGGAAGTCTATACCTTTCTACGTGGCTGGCTGGCTGGCTTAAACTGACTATTGTGGATTTCATTGACACATGAAGCCATGTTTTGGTTTGACTACCTCTAGCTCTTTCCCAGCCTGACCATCCTATGTCAGCTGACTAACATTGCCCGTAGTCGAGGAAGGCGATGGATGGATAGTTATGCACAACACATATCCTAACCATCTCTCTCAGTCGGTGTAACTTCACAACCTCGTCGACTGATTTCCCCCTCCTTACCTAACACTCGATGCGTCGGTGGCACAGCGGTTAGGACGCTCGCCGACCATGCACATGGTCCGGGGTTCGATCACCGGCCACCGACGCACTCCTTTACCTCACTAAGCCAGAAATAATGCTGGTAAAGAGGAAAGGTTGGGCATGAGGCTAGCAACCCCATCCTGTAAAACTAAACACTGCTACAGAAATTTCAAGCCACTAGCTTGAAGCCCTTTATTCCACTGGGAAACGTGAAGGAAAAAAAACCTAACACTCGACCAATGTTTAACCTCAATATTGCTTACACAAAGAACACTCCGCAAAATCTTCACAGACTTTTTGTTGCCCACACGCAAATTTTTTTTACTGTAGTATGATTTTATTTCCATTCTTCTTTTTTTTGCATGATGCTTCGAAACGTAACAATTTCAACGGATGCACCATAGTGAAAAAAAATTTGCATTGATTTATATTTATCTCTGGATTAGCTGAACTAATCCGCTCTCATTTAAAATAGCATGTCAAATAAAACTATTACCCTAGAAAGCTTAACCTACACAAGTTATCTTTTTTCACTAACACTTACCGGTTGCCAGTCTGGAAAATCATTTGGGGGATATTTGAAGGATGGACCAAAATTGACAGAAACTGTGGCTGCCCTGAATATTGATATTGCTGGATAATAACTACCCGCGTAGATATTCGTGAAAGCTGTCCCCATACACTCGCCATTACGATAAAATACAATCTATATTTTTTTAAAAAGACAAGGTAAATAATCATATGTTAACCTTTTACTGCCCTCAGTTAGACGAAATATAAATATTGCTAAAGTAGACACTCTTGATAATACACAATAACAACCATTTTTATCATATATTGCAACTGTCTGTCTGTCTGGATTCAACATAGAACTTGGCACTGAAGTGCAGCAGTTCGACTTGCCACGTTCCAAATAGCACACAAAGGTAGACAAGAAGATGAGTGAAGAGAATCAATAGAGTTTTGACACGTATAAGAGTGAAACAGAATGAGTAATGGTAGAAAGGAATATGAAAGATTACAGAGACTGAATACATCTGCGTAAGACATTGACAACGATTTTGAGCCATGTCACCTGTTGTCTCCAGCCATTGATTCTTAGAGTCCTGAGGGCCCCAACCCGGAAGGTGTCTGCATCTCCCTACCTGAATCAGTTTAACTGTTAAGGATTTCATGGATTGATGAGGCCATGTTTTTGTTTGGCCACCACTTATTCTTTTCCAACCTGGACCTATATCAACTAGTAATGCCCGTCGGGGGGAGGTGATGGCTAGGCAAGCGCAGCACCTGACCTAGCCATCTCAATCTATGTAACTTTATAGCCTCTTCGATTTATTTTCCCTCTTTGCCCAACACTCTACACCTGACGTCAACATTACTTACCTTATTATACCACCTAACGGGAGAAAGAGATCGTAAACATCTGTGGTCAAAAGTAGTCAACCTTTTCATGTCTCCAACTCGTATTGGCCATGTTTCAGAGCCAGCCATAGAGAAGGACGGAGCGAACTGCTGAGCAGTACACACGTCCCTTGGTTGATAACCGGGTGTCACGCCTACGCCAGAGATGGTGTAAGTTAGCGAAAGCAACTCGAGGTTTTTGGATCCGTGGTGAGATTTCGTCACCAATCAATCAATCCGTTGTTGCTGATACAACTTCCCAAATAGGTGAAGTGGTCAACATGGTGTTCTATCACTTCACTCCCTATCACTAAGCTAGGAGTTGATGTAGTGCAGTCCTTTAAGCAGTATCTTACATTTTACAGGGGCAAATCGCATGCCAAACATACGAAGATTGAAACTAAACGCCAATAGTGAAACGGATCTGTGGATCATATTGTTAATTTGTAGCAATGGACTGTAGCTGTATTTTCAGGCAACCACTAACTTTTATAACTGGTTATTTGTATTTCTATAATACATTGCAGTCGGATTTTTATTCTAATATTTCGTATCGTTATCCAGTACTTTGTTAAGTGCCCTACAAATAGTTTCTAAGATTATAAATGTTCAAGACGGTTTCAATAATTAATATACATATACATTTATTTGACGAAGAAGTCGACTAAACAATATGTTCATTTTTCACACTTAGCGACAACTGTACAGATTTACTGTTTAGGATTCCACAAGGATAATAAGTGAGTGTCCCAACCACTGATCTACATAAGTGCGTGTGTGAAAATGCAAAACTACAACGATAATTTTATATTACTCAGTAAAATTTGGACTAATAGACACCAGATATGTAGACATATATAAAAAATAAAATAATTCCCAATTGCCGTGCTGCCTGTAAACAAGGAATTATATTTCCAGATAAACACTTGGGAAGAATTACAGGAAGCTGATGAACTAATGACCGATAAGAAGACTCTAGAAGATATGGATTCCGCAGACAATATATGTCTATTTTCGAAGACATGCAGGCGAGAACTAACAAACTGGCTGAAGAAGGAACCGATGAAGACAGGGCTGCAGGTGAACATAAAGAAGATGGAAGTGATGAGGATAACCTACCAACAGCAACAACAACAACCAGCACCAAGGGAAGAGATTAAACAGAGGTTACCTCCTTCACTTCTCTAGGAAGCATCGTTTCAACTACAGGAATTTGGAACGAATGAAGATGTCAAAGGAGGCCAGAATCGGAAGGGCCTTCGTCAACCTAAAACCAGTTTGGAAATCTTCTGCACTCTACCCTAGCATAAAGAACAAGATTTCTTTAGATTTTCAACAAAATGTAAAATCAGTCAGTCAGTCTGTCTGTTTTCGACATGGAACTTTGCACCGATGTGTGGCAGTTCGAGTCGCCACACTCCATATAGCACACAAAGCAAGAAAACAAAGGCATAATATAGATAGTAAACAGAGGTGAAAGACAAAGCAATAGTAATAACAAAGAACAATACAGTTTCATTGGAAATCATAAGTCACAAGGAGTGGATGCATCTGCAACAGCCATTGAGAACGATTTTGAGCCATGTCATAAATTGTTTCCAACCATTGGTTTTTACCGTCCCGAGGACCCCAACCAGGAAGTCTACTCCTTCCTATGTGGCTGACTTAAACTAACTCTTGTAGATTTCATTGACTGGTGCCCTGTTTTCGTTTGACCGCCGCTAGCTCTTTTCCAACCTGACCAATCCTATGTCAGCTAACATTGCCCATTGTCGAGGAAGGCGATGACTAGGCATACGTAACACATGTCCTAACCATCTCTATCGGTGTAACTTCACAGCCTCGTCGATTGATTTTCCCTCCTTACTTAGCACTTGACCGATGTCTAATCTCAATATTGCTCACCTTATTATACCACTTCACACGGGAGATAGAACGCAGACACCTATGATCGAAGACAGCTAATCAGCATTTTCATGTCTTCCGCTCTCAATGGCCACGTCTCACAGCCATAAAGGAGGAAGGAGCAGACTGATGAGCAGTACACACGCCCTTTGGTCGATAGGCGGATATCACGCCTACGCCAGAGACGGCGTAAACTGGCATATGCGAAACTAGCCCTCTGTATTCGTACTGAGATTTCGTCAGCGATCAACCCGTTGGGGCTGATGGTACTTCCCAAATAAGTGAAGCGGTCAACGTGCTCTACCACTTCACTTCCTATTTCTAATCTAGGGGTCGGTGTACTCCAATCCTGCAACGTCATCTTACATTTTACAGGGGCGAATCGCATGCCAAACATACGAAGATTGCTGCTCAAGGTGTTCGGAATATTCTGCATTTTGTCAGTGTCCTCGCCTAGAAGGACTATATCATCTGCATATTCTAAGTCAACGAGATTATTCCCTGGTAGCAAGTCAATCCCTGAGTCTCTGAAGTGAGTTAGGGTTAAACCCATTACTACATCTATGACGAAATTGAATAGAAATGGGGATAATGGGCATCCCTGACGGACACCACTAGTCGTCACCACTTCGTTAGGCAGTTCTTCCATACGGGTCAGCAGCTTAACCAGCATGTCACGAGAAGTATTTCCAACAAGTCACTGCACACTTTTATCAACAACTGCCACCTTCACTGGCTGGTTCCATACTGAAGATCAAGTGCCCAGCCGGCCGACCAGGAAGAATTAGCAACAAGAAACTCTCACTGGCTGGTTGGCCGGCTGGGAACAAACCAACTAAGCGCTGATCGCCCAACAAATGTGTATGACAAAATGGTGATGGATCGCGCATACATTGAGGAGAACACCGAATGACATCGCGCGCAATACAGGCTATCGCATCGCTCGAGAGCAATCCGAATAGGAAGCGACGAGTTGGGCGTCGGTCGGAGGAGATCGTGTGGGGAGGAGAAGCAGAGAGATTATGGGCAATCGTGGACCCAGATGAAGAGGACGGCAGAAAATACAACGAAGTGGAAAAGTGTTGTTGAAACCACTCGGAACCCAAAGGAATTGATGATTGAATCCTTAGTTTATTAATAACTATAATTTTCAGGCTTCATTATTTCATCACTGACGACTTATAGGAATTAATTTGATTTTTTTTCTCCTTCGCATGCAAAAACATGACAAGAAACAAATGCAATGAAGTGTGTGTGAACCAGCTGTGTAGAAAATTTAATAACATCGACATGAACATGATTGTTTTATAGTTTCACTTTTAAAGGTTGTGTGTGTGTGCATGTTTGTGGATTCATTTAGAGCAGTGGGCGAAAAACACGAAAATTGTGGAGATTATTAGTCTGACACATCCAGGTGGATGGATAGACAAAGAGATAACAAAAAGGTTGAAATGATATATTCACAGAGAGGAAAAAACCAAGTGGATTTTTATAGAAATAACACATACCACACACACACACACACACCTCTATATTCATTTAACATGAAAAGAAATCCAATCGCACTCTTTTTTTGCTGTTCACATATCAACTTAGTTCTCACATTAAATAAGGACACTTGAATTTTTTTCTTTTTTTTAAAGTATCAGATTTTAAGCAACATGTTGGCTTTCATTGTTCCATTCAACAAAATTATGATCCTTCACACATGTTTATAACCTCGCCTAGTTAACTAGCTCGCTAGTTTTTTAGCCGATCCCAAGCCCGGGTAAAGAGGGAGGGGGTTGGGCTTGGGGCTAGCAGCCCCACACCACTAAATTGTTTTTGTTTTTTATTACAGCTTGATTCCACACCGTATTTTCAGTACAAGTATGGAATTTTCAGCATGGATATCGGTAGCCCAAATTTACAGGCCGACCATAGATATCGGGTGTGCGCCGGCAGTGGATCGAACCCCGGACCATGTGCGTGGTCGGCGAGTGACCTAACCACTGTGCCACCGACCACTAAATCTTTCAAACCGCTAAAGCTGGCTGGATTCAATATAAAACTTGGCACCGAAGTGCAGCAGTCCCAGTTACCACGTTCCAAATAGCACACAAAGGTAGACAGGAAGATGATGAGTGAAGAGAATCAATAGAGTTTTGACGAGTATAAGAGTGAAACAGAATGAGTAATGGTAGAAAGGAATATGAAAGATTACAGAGACTGAATACATCTGCGTAAGACATTGACAACGATTTTGAGCCATGTCACTTATTGTCTGTCTCCAGCCATTGATTCTTAGAGTCCCAAGGGTCCCAACCCGGAAGGAGTCTGCATCTCCCTACCTGACTGACTCAGTTTAACTGCCAAGAATTTCATGGATTGATGACATGTTTTTGTTTGGCCATCACTTAC